AGTAGTGAGGAGAGGGAGGTTAACGAGGAGATAGAGGAGACTGAGGAGGAGAATTCACCTTCTCCTCCACCAGTTAACCGACAGCCTGGTGAGGGCACCTCCCGTGGAGTGAGTAGATCGGTATTTGACGGTGCTAGGTTCAATAATCGCAGGAATCAAGAATGGCATGAGGAGCATGCTAACTTGGAATTCCTATTTGAGATGCATGTCAACCCAACAGTTGAGATGATGTATAACATCTCAGAGGCTTTTGCTCAGCTGGGATGGGCGCCGATTCTCACCCTACCAAACCATTACTACCCCGACTTGGTGCGCGAGTTTGACGCTAACATTGAGAGTAAGGCGCGTCATAGTGGAGAAATGGTTGAGTCCTGGGTACGTGGAAGACGAATCACCTTGTCACGTCAAGATTTGGCCGCTATTTTGGGGTGTATGGATGACGGCCGTCCAGTAGATTTGAAGAAGGAGTTTGTTCCCCCGAATAGGAGGTGGGATCCCTCGCTGGCCATGGCTAGGTTTGGTCTTGAGTACCAACCTTTTCGCTCTACAAGGAAGGAGACCATTTTGGCGAATGTCTTCGAACCTCGTCATCGGCTTATCATTTATATGATGGCTCACAATGTCATCCCAAAGAAGACGGGGCACACGGAGGTTCGCAAGAGCGATATTTACTTCCTTGATTACATGTTCCACAACCGAACTTCCCCGTATGCTCGAATTTCATTGCCAAACATCATCATCAGCCACATTAGGTCAACGGCGAGGCGTAAGACAACTTCCTTCAAACTTTCATTTCCTCGTCTACTGACTTTAATCTTCCCCTGTTTTGAGGTTCGCTTGGAAGGCATGAGGCGGGAGAATGTTCCTCCACGAGCTGAAATGACTCTTACTACTCTCCGTCGGCTTGGTATTGGCACGGGGAACATTCCACGCCCTGTTCAGGAGCGGAGACAGAAGGCTAGACATGGTCGCGATGAAGCTGGACCATCTACTGCAGCACCACCTCCTCCTCCGCCACAAACCAATTGGCAGTGGCTTTTCGGTCGCTTGGACGACATCGACCATCATTTAGCCCGACTGGATACTCGCCTGGACCACATTGAACATCATCTAGGCTTACATCCACCTCCCGTCAATGATGATGAAGATGACGATGAAGAGGATGATTGAGGCTGCCCTTTGGCTGGCTTTTCTTTTGTTTGCTTGTTTGCTTGTTATTTTTATCTTTTGTTTGAAAAATGTTAACTTACATTCCTTATTTTGAATATTGGAACTTGTGGCAGTAACTAGTAGATCGTTGTCTGTAGATGGGTGAGCGGTCGATGGCTCACGATTCAAGGCTTCACTGGACCGCAGCCATCTCACTTGGGGAGTCACTTGTTCCTTTCTTTTGTTTCTTTTATTTTCTTTCCCTACACATTGAGGACAATGTGTAATCTAAGTGTGGGGGAAGAAATGTGTAGTACTTGTGATTTTAGTTATGTTTGATGTGCTTCCAATTTGTTTCTTGTGGTTGCTGGCAGGGAGTTTAGTCCACTTTTAAGGGGAGACTCTGTCAAAATTTTTCCAAAACCTTATACATACATATATATATAATAATCATAATAATTAAATAAAATTTTGTCACTTATCCTTTTGAAATAATATATGTGGATTTGGAAACTTATTTTCTCATTCAAATGACTATTATGTGATTATAATTTATGCATTTGTAGGAAAGTATATCTTGTAAAGTGGAAAAAAATTATGCCTATTTTTTTTGCATAGTTAATGAAATTTCTTCTCTTTATTGGATTTTATAAGTTAAGTGATAAATATGGTCAATAATTGCAATACTCTTCTCATGATTATGCTTTCGAGGGAATGTTATTATCTTTACTTTAAAAAAATAATAATAATAATAAAAATAAATAAATAAATAAAGAAAAAAAAAAGAAGACAAAAATAGAATAAGATTTGTTCTACTCCAATGATTCTTGTACTTAGTAACCGGATGTCTTCATCTAAAAATGTCGACTTTCACGTAAAACGATACTTGAATTAAGAGTATGCAAAGCAACTTGAGTATGTGAAGTGTTGAATAACCGGTGATCTTCATCTAAAAATGTCGATCCTCGCGTAAAAAGATGCTTTCACAACTTAAGTAATACTTAGCTATATTATATAAATAAATCCCTCTTTAAGTTAAATAAAAAGATGATCATGGGTTTAGGAAGCACTTTATTGATCATATGAATTACTTGCTTGTGAAATTGAGTAAGGATGAAAAATTGAATTAAACTTGTTACAATTATGGTATAATTGGTTCTCCTTTACTTGATATTATAAGTACTTGAGGTTATTGAATGATTGCATAATAGTTATTTACTTTGTTTTGAGGAAATGAAGTTGAAATGCTACATATGTTTATTTTTAAATTTTTGGATCATTGATGGTTGGAATTTTATATTGCTTGAGGACAAGCAATGATTCAAGTGTGGGGGTATTTGATAAGAGTTTATTTTACGTATTTTTAGTGTGTTTTATTAGTTAATTTTGGTTTGATTATTTAGTTTTATAACTAAAATAACTAAAGTTTTGGTAAAAATCTACATTTTATGTAAAAGTGGCTAATATTGCATTTCTAATGATTTTAATAGTAAAAACTTCATTTTTATGCAGGAATGATGATTCAACCACCAAAGGATGCCAATTGAAGTGAAAAATAGAGATTTGGTGATGAATTCAAAGTGGTAAAAAGAAAAATGAAGTGAAAAACGTTTAAGTAAGGAAATGCAAGTCAAGACAGTTTTGACACTCTTCAGTATTTCGACTATATCTGGAGCTACATTGATCAGATTGAGATGATCTTTATACCAATTTAAAGCTAAGAAAGATATCTACATTTGGTATGAAGACATCAAAGTCCAATTCAGCCGTTTTCATAGCCCAAAAGTTGAAATACCGAAATTCAACTCAGCTGTCCAAAGTGGAAAACAGAGCTCTGACCAGTGTTTAGTATTTTGATCATATCTCAAAGTACAAAGCTCCGATTTGGATGATTCTTGAAGCATTGAAAATCTAACTCAAAGGGCTACAATCTTTGTGTTTTGCACAAAAGCCAGTTCGGCCTTTATGATAGAGAAAATCACAGATAAAGTAAGGCCAAAGTGAATACGCGAGTACACAAAACGTAACTTGTAACCGCGTTTTTTGTAGGCGCGTTTTCTGGCCGAAATTCTGCAATTCGTTCAGTCAATTCTCTTGTGTTCAGACAACTTTCCAGCTATAAGTTGCAAGAGAATTCGGTGCACATGCTTCAGAAGACAAAAGGGCAAGAAAGGTGGCTTATTTTCAAGTCAAAAACATTTACTATTGACTATCTTAACAATTTCAGATTTGAGAATCCTTAGAGCAGCAAATTTGGACTAGAGAGGAGCTTTTCATCAGTTTATATGCAGAGACATTTGGGAGGTCTAAAAGGAAGACGGGAGAGAACTTGAAGTGCAGAAATGTAGTTCTTTCATTTCCTTAGTGTAGGATAGTGTAGTAAGTGTAGTTAATCCATTCTTGTATAATAGCTAGATTAGGATGAAGATGGAGATGAAGAAGGAGGAGTTGAAGCTCAAGTGACATGGGTTATCTCTACTCCAATTCTTTATCTTTTGTATTGGATTCTTAACTATGGTTATTATGCAAGTTCTGGAATTTATGTCTATTATGTGTTTCTAAAGTTTATGCCTTGGGTTTGGTTGAACTTTCTATAATTGTTAGTGTTTATTATTTGGCTATTTAACTGCTATGATTTGAGCAAGTTATTTAGCACTTTAGCTCTTTAAATCATGATTAATCTGGTACCATTAATTGTGATTATCTAAGGTGTTATTTCTACAATGAAAATTGAGATTTAACATTAGTTCAAGAAGTGCTAAACATAGGGAGTACACTCACGAAAGTAGAGGTGCTCCTATGTGGTTTTTAGTGATTCATTTCATGTAATTTCATTGAAGTAATGAACTTGTAGCTTATTTCATAACCATGAGAATAGGTATGGATTAGTTATGAGTATAATTGATTCACTACGAAAGTAGGATTCAAATGGATAAGGAAATTACACCATAACTAGCCTAGATGTAGTACTCAATGATCCAAATATAGCACTTGCATGAGTAGTTAGGGATACCACAACCTAAGGAGCTTTTATTCATTATTTTGTATAATTTCAGTAGGTTAAATTTGTTATAATTTATTGATCGTCTAAATAATAGAGAAATTTTAGTAATACCGGTAATTGTTCACTCTTCCCTGTGGGATCGACTCGATATATACCCTAAACTACTAGTTGATCTGTATACTTGCAGTGAACGGGTGTAATTCGGTATTTTTTAGCTTGCACGTATGTAAAATACCCGTCAATCATGACCTTTGATACTAGGTTAAATTGCGCGTAACATGTACATTTCTAAAATCTTACATGTAGTTTTGCACAAAACTAATAAGACATAGAATTAAAACAGGTGTAATCACGACTTAATAGTACAGGAGCGAATTTAGGATTTTTTTTAAAATTTTTTTCTAATAAGAAAGGAGTGGAATTTAAGAAGCAAAGAAGGAATAGGGGATTAAAATCTAAGACCTCTAATTGAGAGTTTTGCCAATTCTTGCATGCAAACTAAATGCCAAAACATATTCAAACCTTGTAACTGCCGACATCATTAAGCAATCGGGTATGCTTTCCTAAAGCAACAAAGAGTTTAGGATGAGTTGGCATCCAGTCCATAACATCCTTTGTGGCACTATCCATGCCCATGAAAGCTGCAGACGCTAGAGGATAATATGCCGTTGTGATCAGACCATTGCTCAAATAATCAGCAAAAGATGGCAATTCACTTGCAAGAAATCACTTTGACTGAGCAAAATTCGTCCTCACGTATTGTTTCCACTGAGTTAAACCAATGAATGCATGGAAATATTGGTCAGTACTGCATTAAGGATTCAACTTACAAAAATTTCATCTAAAACTACAAGAAATATAGTTCATTAGCAACGTGGTGCCATACTTCTTCTATATACTTGTCAAACACACAGGTACTTTGTTTTTTTGATAAATCTTCCTCAAGCTCCTTATTAAAATTCAAAAGTATCATATAAGAAGTCTTCAAGTAGTCTGAGAGCTGCTCAATTCCATTTCCATCCCATCTGCAAGCAAAGCGAAATTCCTTTGTTAATGCACATTAACATGCATTATCGTGCTAGAGGAAATTTACAATTAAGTGATTCTACTTTTCCTTTTTGAGTTCGTAGTCCTTTTTCTCTTTTTTCTTTTCCTTTTCTAAGTATGATTACAACATTTATCAGGCATGCAAGTTTGGGCAAAACCTTAAGACAATATGCAACTTAGGAGGCATGGCTATATGCATACCTTTCCACAGCTTCCGTTAATATTTTGAGTTCAAGAGTGCCATAAGCATCATACGTATTGTCAATTATTCCAGCAATGGCTATTGCTTTTGCCAAAGTCATTCGAGCAAGAGAGTGCCGAGGTTCATAAATGGTTCCAACATCCCAAAAGTAGCATTCCACAAATCTGTCCCTTGCATATGGAACTTTTGATAGGATGTCCAGTTCCTTTCCCCACCTACATCGTCATGAATGAAGAAAAAAAAAGAAGAAGAAACATTATATATCCATTGTTGAAGCTTTCTATAAAAATATGGGAATATAAAGAGACATTTTGAATGATACTTATAACAGAAATTGAAAATTCGCATTTCTTTTGGTAGTTTGTGTTGACAATAATTCGGTAATTCTAAGGGTGTAGTTAATTAGATATGAATTAGGGCTCCACACAATTTAGAAAGACAATACTAATATAAAAATCTCATATTACCAGCCATTTTTAGCAATAAAGAGAAAAACTACTTTAGAAAATTTTTTTTGTTGCTTTAGAAAAAAAAATTGCTGTTAAATGAACCTAAAATTGCACCAAGCACTTAATTAAATAAACTTTTGCAGGTAATATTCATAACAAACTCTGTTCGTTAGGAAGATGGTGCGTCCAAGGAAGCACCTTAATATCTCATAAAGGTCTTGTTTATTCAGCATCTGCGACAAGTGATAATCCAATTTGGCGAGCCGTAATAGTAGTTTGTTATTACATTCATCTTCCTCGTACATGGAGATGTAACAATAAGCCTCATATCTTGGTATGCCCTTATGGAATGGCTTCTCAAGGGCATGTTTCACTTGTTTTGCAAGAATACTAGAACCCATATGGAGAATTTCAGGTGTCAAGTAGGTGGTTGTGAAAGCAAGAACTTCTTTTAAAATTTTGTCTTGATGTGCCTTGACCTCAGCAGCTTCATATAGATTTAGGAGACCTCTTAAGTCGCTGTATAAGGAGTCCTTGAACTTACCATTAGGATCAACGAATTGGTTGAAAATTCCTACTTGGAAATTATTTAGGCAATGGTATGTCAGAGAAATCACATGTTAGTGTTAGTGCGCACTTTTGAATCAGTGAATTTAGTAAGCAAATTGTATACCACAAGAGATATTAAAACCATATTGCCTGAAAAGTCGAAACTGAAGTGCTGCAGTAGATAAATCATATTCTAGATACCTTCCCAAGTTGGTAGATAGATTGAAAAGCTGTTCTAGTTGATTTTGAATCTCATCCTCAAAGTGATACGAGATACCGAGTCGTTCTATTTTGTCAATGAAATCCAATTTTTGCATCATGGTTGTTCCTGTTGCCAGAAGCATGTTCATCACTTCCACCTTCAAAAGTTCAATCTCTTTGGTGTACGTTTCATATCCCTGAATGCATCTCAAAAATCTTTCTTCAATGATATTGTCAAATTAATCTTGTTAATTTTCCTTGAAAAACAAGAATTCTTAGACATTAAACAGGCAAAGACATACCTCGTACCCTAAAACACTAATAAAAAATCCTTCTGCCTGCAAATTAATCGAGTATCTGTAACGATATGCATTGATGTCATAGGGAAAATTAATAGGGGATCAATGATATGTAAGGTCGTCATAAAAGCCTAATAGGAAAGGAAATGTCGCATGACTCCAGGTAAAAGTTTTACATTAAAATACGGAAAAATGAAAAGGACTTAAAGGTCAAAATGGGTAAAACCCATACAGTTGAATCGGTTGTCCACTAAGATATTCTGTTTTCTTTTCTGAAACTCTATGTTATTTAGATGATTAATTTTAAAATCAACAAAAAAAAAAAGTTGAACCACTTAAATTGAGAATTAGAAGCTCATCTAAATAACCCACTAGTCTGGATCTAAAAGTGTTGCTAATTTTGTCTCGTACTCTCCAAAAACAATAAAATCTTCTTTTTGTTCTCATTGGAAAATAAAGAATTTATTAAGGCACAACCATGTTTGCATTAACAATGGGAAATATAGAGGATGGAGGATGATCCTCCCCAGCAAATAGATATGTGATCATTGGGGTCAGATCAATGGTCGATGGAGAATTATTAGAGTATTTTTTCTTGTCAGATTCAGAGTCTGAATTCTATGATTGATAGTTAGGGGCGAAAAGAGTGTGAGGAGGAGTGGGAGGATTAAAAAAGAAAATATTCGGCAAACAGATGTGAGACAAGTTATTTACAATCTAGAAAAATGAATGGTATAGAGGAAATAACATTGTTGGAAAAAAATATGAGGTCAATTATGAACTTATAGAAATATGAAGGATTATAACCTGCTTATCAAGAGTAAACGTTGTCATACAATCAGCCCAAATGTTTTCAAGAAAGCCTGCCAATTGCCGGACAACTTCAGCAGTTTGAGGTGAGGCCATGTTGGTGGGGTAAATAGGGGATGACTGAGCTCAACTAAGGGACCGTTTGTTTCGGGTGAAAATGTTTTCCAGGAAAATATTTTCCTAATTTCCGGTGTTTGGTTGCACAAAAGTTACTGAAAACATTTTCCTATGTAAAATATTTTCACTCATCTTATGGAAAACAACTTCCCTTCCAAACTTACTGAAGTTGTTTTCCGAAATGCATGCATCCCGTCTGTAGTATGTTCCAAACTTACTGAAAACATCTTGTAGTATGTTCTTTTTTTTTTTTAAGTGTAAACAGGAGGACTCGAACCCAAGACCTCTTCCTTATACTCTCTCCCCCGTACCACCCAACCCAACCCTCCCCTAGTATATTCAGAATTAAAAAAAACATCATCCTGCTCATCCTATGCTAGTAATTAATTATGTATAATAGGGACATTCTTTTCTAGAGAAACTTTCGGCAGTGAGAGTGCAAGATATATGTCACAATAAGCATTGCATGTGATTGGTATTTGACACTAAATGGCCAGCAATTTGTTTATTACTTAAAGAGATATTTTTTATTCATATATACATTTCTTCAAGATTTTTTAAAGTTAAACAATGAGATAAATTTTCTTATTTTGCATGTCAAGAAGTATGTAGTTATAATGTGTATAAAGTAAAGATAGAAATAAAAGTGAAAATATTTCAAAAGTTAAACAAACATCAGAAAAATGAAGTAAGAAAATATTTTCAATAAGCTAACCAAACACTTGAAAATGATGAAAGGGAAATGATTTTCATGGAAAATTACTTCCACGAAAAATATTTTCTCAAGAAAAATATTTTACTTCCAACCAAACAGACCCTAAGTGTGTTTACTATAATCAAATGGATGATCAGCCAGAGGAATTCAATTACAGATATATAGATCCATCACCCTAGTAGTTACTCATTAGGGGCTGCTTTAGCTGTTCGTTGTACTTAGTTTTAGTAAACCCTATCCGATTGATTTGGAGCACTCAGTTGTCAGCAATGCAAGCCATCAACTTGGATGAACGACAAAAGTCTACACTATGATCTGCCGGTGTGATGTCAAAGATAATTTGACAACTGAAACAGTACCAGCAAATTCTTTTGAAAGTCAAGTCAAACAAATTATCAAGCCGACTAACTGATCTAGAGGACATTGTATGGTTTTCTGAAAACGAAAGGAAACAAAAGGATATGCTGCAGACAAAACAATACCATAGAAAAGTCTCAAGTAGATTAATAAAGATTAAAAAGAAGAGGGAAAATCTAGCTCTCTCTTTTGCACTATCAAATCCAAAACAAATTTTCTAAAACTTTACAAATTGTATGTAACACAACTGATAAGAGAAAGCCCAAAAAATATTAAAAGACTTCTATAGCCGGAATTTTTACAGTAGTTTTCTTCAAAGATTTTGTTAGAAAATTGGCTTAATTTCTTTTAGATAGATTTCTTCTTCTGTGTAGAAATAACTAGTTTTCTAATTGGTTTTAATTACTTGAAATAGTAGTCAAGAAATATCCTATTTAGTTTAGAATTAGAAATTATTTCATATTCTATACAGGTCTAGGAATTAGAATTGATTTCCTATTGTTATTTGAGTTTTTGCCAAATAATGTTATCTACAAATAGGTGGATTGACATACTATACAAGAGACATACAAGGGCACACAAGAGATAACATGTAACCTTATACATAGGTAGTGAGAGAGGGTTTTTGGGAGATGAGAGATGGTATACAAGAGTTGGGTTTGGAGTCAAATTATATTCTTGTATAGAGTTTTCCTCCCATAATAAAGAGCAAGTTCTCTCTTCGTGAATGTAGGCTCAATGGTGGAGTCGAACCATGTTAAATTTTATGTGTCATTTATCTTTCATACTTGTGATTTGTTAATCATTAAATTGTTGTGTATTTGATATCTTAATAGTTGTGTGTTCTGCACTTGGATCCTAACAATTGGTATCCGAGTTTTAGGTCTCGAGACTGGGCTACTCAGGGGCAAGTGGATTCTTCTCAAAGTTGGATCGGTAAAAATTCTCTCCTTGATGGTGGACTAAGGTGCTAAGGAATTTGGCTAGTATTGGACTAAGTGCACCATAGGTTTGGCAGGAAGTCCGGTTGGTGTGAGATGGAGCCAAGAGTTAGCAGAGGTCTAAAAATCTAGTTTGGATGTTGAAAAAGAGTGGGTCCACGTGATAGGTATCAAGCCTGTGCAATAATAAATATCTACTCTAGAAAAATACAAATTTTGTATATAGCGGTGAGCAAAGTCGAATCTACAGGGATTGGGAATAATTCATTTCTTCCAGAGTCCAAAGTATGGGGGTTTTTTGGAGAATATAAAATAACTAATTAACTAACTAATCAAACAACTAATCAAAACAAACAGGAATTAATCATTAACCAATACAACTCTAGTCAAAGGTGCAACTTTTAGACACGGTCCATTCAATTAATCATCGATGCAAAGATAATTCAATTACTCATTAATAGATTGGTTATAGTTGTCATATACGCAATAAACAACCAGTCTTTCCATACTTTTTTGATAGTCAAGATACGACCATTAACTACTTCCCTAACCAAAAAATAAACCTAGATACGACCATAGGATTTAATTTCTCGATTGCAATAAGAATTAGAAAAGCCCAATCCTAACCAACAAACACGCTACGAGTGTTTGTTTAAATTAGATCACAAGTTTCCCTAATGATAGGGTGCATTTTAGTGGGTTATTTCATTGCTATTTCATAGTTGTTGGGACTAAATGTCACTCTATTAGATGGATTCTACTCAGGTTTGGTGGTTTGTGTTAATTGCAGGAAGTGATGCTGAAAAGTGTTGAAAATCAAATTCCAAAGGACTTCTTGACATTTAGGCGTGTCCACGCCTAACCCCAAACCAAAATCCTGTACTCGATCGCACGTGAGAAGCTCCAGAATATTGAACGAGGCAGCGAACTACAACTTTGGAAAGCAGTGGGGTCACTCCCAAGCTAAAGAGAGTTATCTGTAATAGGATTTGTTAATTAGGAAATTTTTGGTAGTCGGTTACCAACTTTGTAGGAGAAAAACTAGGATGAGATTTACATTCCTCTCTCTGGTGGGGCCTGGCCGAAAAAAGGGAGGAATTCCTTTTTGCCTTTTTGTATGGCTACCAACGTGAAAAGAAGAGAGGTACTTTTCCTAAGGCTTGTCTTTGACTTTGGTGGTGCTTTGTAAACAATTAGGAAGAAACCAACGGGAAGAGTCGCAATTGTGGACTTGTGGGTTTTTGCTTTTTACTTTTGTTTGACTAGATTGAAGAGAGCATTAGAGTCTCTCGTATGCCTTGGGTTGGAAAGAATTGAAAGTAACAAAAATTCCTCGTTCTTTTCTTCCGCGGTTGACCGAAATTGAGAGAGCCAAATTTTTCCTAATTCTCTACGCATGGCTTGTTCTCCATTAATGAAAAACTAACTTTCTAATTTTAGTCAAGGGGACAACTGAAGATTTAGTTCGGCAAATACTGTGAGATCTAAATTATTTTAATTGCTTCCTCCATTTATTGGTATTTATATGTTTTCTGCTTTCAATTGTTAAAACTTTTGTGTATGATTGAATAATCTGCAATATTTAATTATTCACATAGCCTATTTTGCTAATTAGGGATAGTTGGATCCGTAATTGGTCGATTACCTCTGTCCCGGTAGCAACTGGCATAATTGGATTTATGTGAAGAGAACATACGATCTAGTTTAAACAAATTCTCGTAACGTGTTTATTAATTAGAATTGGGTTTTTCTAAACCTTAATGCAATCTAGAAATTAAATCCTACGGTCGTACCTACGACCGTAGGATTGTTTTCGGATTAGAAAAATAGTTAACGGTCGTACCTTGACTATCGAAAAAGTAAGGAAAAACTGATTGTTTATCGCGTGTATGACAGTTATAATCAATCTATTAATAAATACTGAAAGTTTATGTGAATCGATGATCAGTGCATGAATCATTTCTGAAGTGTACCCTTGGTTAGAGTTCTCTCAAGTATTTCTGTCAATTAATTATTTTTCGCATTCGATTTATTTAATTCATTAGCATTTAATCCTAGAACCCCCATTTATCTTGACTGGAAAGGAAACAAATTTCTCCCCAGTCCCTGAGGAGACGACCCTGCTTGCCACTGCCTACTAGTTAGTGAATTTAGTCAGATAATTAATTCTGATATATTGGGTTAACAAAACTCTTCGGGAACAGGGTGAATCAAGTAATTCATTGCACACCTAGGGTCCCTGCTCCAGTACTAGAATTGATTATTAACTGCTTTAGGTGGTAGTTAGGTTTTATTATTATTATTGCACAGGCTTGGCATACCGCACTATAGTAGAGACATGCACGTGGTACAGATATGCACTATGCACTATTGGAACTTGAAATTGGAAGATGCACTATGGGCATACCGCACCGCATACAAGACGCCGATTGGGATGTCCCAATATAGACCAGTTTTCGGTAAGGCTTGTCATCTTCTAGTGGAGTTCGAGCATAGGCATTTTGGGTAGTGAAACAGTGCAATATAGATCTGGATGAAGCGGGGGTCCATAGGAAATTGCAGCTACAGGAGTTGGAAGAGATTAGGAATGAGACCTATGAGAATGCCATGATTTATAGGGAGAAACCCAAAATTTTTCATAATCAACAAGTCTTAAGAAAGTCCTTTGTAGTGGGGCAAAAAGTCCTTTTGTATCACTTGAGACTTAAACTTTTCTCCGATAAGTTACGTTCTCGTTGGATTGGTCCATTTGTCGTTTCTAATGTTTTTTATTATGGTGCAGTGGAGATCCAAAGTTTAAAGATGGAGAAGAAGTTCGTAGTAAATGACCATCATCTCAAACCTTACTATGAGGAATTCTCCATTAAGGAAGTCGAATTCATACAACTGGAGAATCCAATTTATCTATTTTGAGAGTTCCGGCCGAGTCTAGCCAAAGACATTAAAGAAAGCTGCTACTTGAGAGG